TGCTTAATCCTTATATAAATATATTCTTCAGTATCAGGAAGTCCAAATACAGTTTTTAAATTCTCAAAATGTTAGAATTATACCTGATGGAGCAATGGGACCTAAATTCAAAATACTGCATTCTTTCCAGATACCCATGTTAAGATTCTGAATGTGAAATTGGAGAATTTTCTAGGAATTGATAGTAACTTGAGATCCCAATATTCTTTTTAAAATATATTCAGACTCATTATTACATTGTTAACTATTCTATTAGGAGTTTTGGTAACCTTATAATGTTCCGAGTTTAACCATAACAAATACAAAATGTGTTACTTTCTCCAACTGTTCAAAACTTGGGTCATTCGATGAAAGATTTTACCATTTTAAATAGTGGGTAAACAATGTTATCGTGAATCTCCTTAACATTGGGAAAGCTCAGGCCACAGTTTCATTTTTCTATTTAGAACTGGATATGAAATTATGCGTTTTGTTTTTTTTTTTTTTATAGCCCCATATAAAATTCTTATACTACAGGGACGTTTAATGCCTTAATCTGATTGGTTGACGAATGTTCTAAGGTGTGCATTATTTTCAGGGAGACGCACGGCTAAAGTAGTTCCAGACCGGTCCATATCACTTTGCGTGGTTTACTGTAAACAAAAAACCAAGCCAAGGATCACCAGGAAATTACAACAAAACTCTAACATGCAGCCCCATGCGCTTGATCTGCCATTTTCGATGTCTAACTTCACAAATCAATGGAAAAGTGAAGTTTAATTGGAATAAAGTATATAATCCTATCTATAATCAATAGAAAATTGAACTGAATATACATAGATAGTCCTGCCGCATAGGTTTTCGTTATAGCTTACTGTCAATAGAAAAAAATAAATTAATTAAAACTAAATTAATAAATTAAATATTGACGCACATGCTTTTCTGTCTCATTATTGCAACCTCTGTCTCTCCAATAACTGCACTAATAACTGCATTAGTCTGCCATCAGTGGCTCAAATCTCTGTTACCAACTCTTAAATAGTGATGTACCGAACGGTTCGCCGGCGAACGGTTCCCGGCGAACATAGCATGTTCGCGTTCACCACGGCGGGCGAACATATGCGCGGTTCGACCCGCCCCCTATTCGTCATCATTGAGTAAACTTTGACCCTGTACCTCACGGTCAGCAGACACATTCCAGCCAATTAGCAGCACAGCCTCCCTAGCAGACCCTCCCACCTACTGGACAGCATCCATTTTAGATTCATTCTCAAGCTGCATGCTTAGTAAGAGGAGGGAAAGTGCTGTTCATAAGATAGGGAAAAGCATAGCTAGGTTAGGGATAAGGGTATGCTTTTAAAAAAAAAAAAATTTCTATGTAATGTAATTGCACTTAGTTGTCTGCCACTGCTGCCAGCTTCTGTGTCAGGCTCACAGTGCATACTGTGCCCATTGCCACCACTTAGATCTGGTGACACAAACGGATTTAAAACAAAAAACTTTTTTCACTGTTATATAGATTGGTTGCGGTTAGTTATCTTCAGGTAGTTGTCGGGCCTACAGCCTGTGCTCTGCACAACTGTGCCAGTGCACATTGCCACTCATATCTGGTCTCACATTAACTTTACGCGCCAGGTACCACTAATCCCCAACAAAAATGACAGGCAAGAGGCAGGCCACCCACTTGGGGATACGCCGTAGTCGTGGTGCTGTGATTCCTTGGCCCTAGAATATGCCAGTTTTCCATAGGGGAATACGTGCCTGAACTGAAAAGTTCTGAGGACATAGTTGACTGGCTAACACAGGACACCCAATCTTCTACAGCCTCGCTCAGAGACAGCACCATCCTCCTCCAGCTTAGCTTTGTAGGCACCACTCAAGATACCACTCACACGCCTGCATGCACTACCACCAAAACTAGCACCACAGCCGCTTCACTTGGTATGTCAGAGGAGTTATTTACACATCCATTTGAAGAAATGAGTGATGCATAACCATTATTGCCAGAGGATGTAGATAACAGGGATATGTCTCAGGCAGGCAGCATTACACACATGGACGTACGGTGTGATGATGATGATGATGTTGTACCCGCTGCTGCTTCCTTTGCTGAGTTGTCGGATACAAGTGAAACGGTTGATGATGACGATGCGTCCATGGATGTCACGTGTGTGCCCGCTCGGCAAGAAGAAGAACAGGGCGAAAGTTCAGATGGAGACGGGAGGAGGAGGAGACGAGTTGGAAGCAAGGGAGTGCGTGCGCCAGGGAGCTGAGTAACACAGTCGGACAGCATGCATCGACACCGGGTCAGCCGACAACTTGCGCCAATCAGCATGCTGTGTCCACCACCAGAATACCGTCATTGGAAACAGCAGTGTGGCATTTTTTTTGTGTGTCTGCCTCTGACAACAGCGATGCCATTTGCAACCTGTGCCAAAAGAAACTGGGTCGTGGGAAGTCCAACACCCACCTAGGTACAACTGCTTTGCGTAGGCACATGATCTCACATCACAGACGCCTATGGGATCAACACATGAGTACAAGCAGCTCGCCTACTCTAAGCCGCCAACCTCCTCCTGGTCCAGCATCTTCAGCCACGTCAACCACTGCTGTCCTCCTTGTCCCCTCTCAACCATCTGCCACTCCGCCTCCCGCCTTGAGCAGTTCACGCTCATCTTCCCACAGTCATGTGTCTGTCAAGGACATGTTTGAGCGTAAGAAGACAATGTCAGAAAGTCACCCCCTTGCCCAGCGTCTGACTGCTGGCTTGTCCGAACTATTAGCCCGCCAGCTTTACCATACAAGCTGGTGGAGTGGGCGTTCAAAAAGAAAATTTGGCAGCTATTGGGACACGCAGTGGAAGGTACCCGGCGAAGTACTTTTCGCAAGGCAATCTAACCTGTACTCAATTGTGTGCAAAAGGAAGTAATAGCATCTCTGGCACACAGTGTTGGGGCAAGGGTCCATCTGACCACTGATACCTGTGGTCAAAGCATGGTCAGGCAGGTATATCACCACCACTGCGCATTGGGTAAACGCCTGCTGACTGCTGCCAAGCATGGAATGCATATACCGCGAAGGAGTTGGTGACACCGCCACGACTTGCAGGCAGTCCTGCTGCCACCTCCTCTACTCCTCCTACTCCATCCTCTTCCATAACCTCCTCGGCTGAGTCCTCTTCTGCTGCTGCGTCTTGCTCACATCAACGGCACACCCCCAGCTCCCCAGGTACTATTCCACATCCCGGATACGGCAGTGTCACGCCGTCTTGGGTTTGACTTGCTTGAAAGCAGAGAGTCACACCGGACAAGCACTCCTGTCCGCCCTGAACGCACAGGTGGAAAGTGGCTGACTCCGCAGCGACTGGATATCGGCAAAGTGGTTTGTGACAACGGAACAAATTTGTTAGCGGCATTGAAGTTGGGCAGTGTTGTCACATGTGCCGTGCATGGCACATGTGTGTAATCTGATCGTACAACGCTTTGTGCATAAGTACACAGGCTTACAGGACGTCCTGAAGCAGGCCAGGAAGGTGTGTGGCC